GCCTTAGAAATGTGGGCCGGTGTCCAGTTCATCGAATCGTACACCCTTTGGACGGGGTCAAAAGTTCACAATACCTCAAAATACCCTTAAAATACGCCTCTTCTAGGTTGGTTTGGACCCAGGGCTTTTGGCCAACTCCCCTAGGTGAATTATCAGTTGGCCACCAACCCGGATGTCGTGTCCTCTCACTTTGGTGGAAAAACACCTCCACCACGAGAATGCAGTGTGTAGAGCTTCATCGACAGAGGCTATTAGAGATGCTTTGTCCTATGGGAGCATTTCGGGAAGTGCAAGAAAAGAATGACCAACCACAACCCTAGACACCCAACCCCAACCATTCAGAGGCTTTTTCAGGATGTTCTAAATACAAATAGCACACTACGCATCATAACCAACGGAGCGCCTTTGTTAACCCCTGTCTTACTGAATGGCCGAGTGAACTACGTTTTGCTTACCGTTTTTCAAGATAACTTGGGACCGAAATTTGGACCCCGAGGAATCATAGAGAGGGGCTTTCCATTAAGCATAAAAGGTTCCAAAACACAAGGAACTGGATACTTGACTGACAAAATGCACAATATTGCTACACTGAAAAAAGAAAATGAACTGGTACTGTTGTGAGAGTTTTACTGCTATCTCGCGTTTCATTGTTTATTGATCAACCAACGGAAGTACAGCGCCGAAAACCAACATAAAAATCCAAGGGCATGAAATCCGTTTCCCAGTCAAAAATATCGGTAATGTGCACAACGTCCATAATGATTAAACTGACTACCTCTTCTGTGGGAGCGCTTCAGATAATCATACCCTTGAAACTGAAGGAAGCATTCAGCGAATCATCCGAACGAAACTCGACTAGTTTTTTTAAATTAATCGCGTATATCTCCAGATTCAGCTAGGATGATAGATAAAACATGGAAAAAGCAGAGGAAGATCATACCTAGTATTTCTACTAGGCAAGCACCCGATGTGCTGCCAAAGGGTTTAGAAAGATGTCTTGGCCCAACCACTGCATTGGTTGTTTTCTCGCTAGTGCTATAGATAGTGCTATAGATAGTCGAGGAATGGGATAACTAATTTAACCACTATATACTATAACTTCAAATTCGAGGAAATCCGTTATAACTTCAAATGAATTGCGCCAATCATGTTCTACTGAAAATCCCGCAAGGTGTTTATGACAGCCATTCGATTTTCCGCTTCCTTCTTTCTGATGACGTTACTTTGTATAGTCAGGTTAAGAAAGTTAAAATGGAACAAGTGATTGCTGCTTCAGTCCTCACCAGTTACTGGTCGATCAGAGTGTATCGTACTTTCGTCCGGTCGGAATGAACTGATGTATTCTTAGCCTAATATAAGTACTTTTGAGTGAGTTATCGAGCGCGGATGAAAGTTTCGGTGGGCCGAGGTTTGACTATTAGTCCCCCAGCCAGCGAATACTGCCTTTGACCGTTGACCGAAATTGAACGTACCTCGATCGGGCGGGAAGAAAGCGAATCATGTCAAGATGGATTGATAAATCGGTTACTGTGCTCATGTGCAAATATTATCATGATAAACTGCATGAGCGGTTTTAGCTTATAGGCCCTTAGCCTAATATGTAAATTTCATTGAGACCGAGATTATCCTGAAAAGAACCTTTTCCTTTGAGTTGAATGCAGTTGCATACACATTTCTGTCATTCAAATGCGCAACTGAGAACATAATAAAAAAAACCGATTGCGAATGCAGTGAAATTATTAGCAGTATCTCATCGAAGTAGCAAGATAAAAATTGAACTTATTTACGAGCTAACAGGAATTACATTCTTTCACCATTATTCCCAGTTTAATTACTACATTTTATCCACAATATCAATCGCGCAATCTGTCACTTACTTTCCTATTTTTTGACAGTTTAGTAGCATAGGAAATCATCCCTGTTGCATCACTCATCCACGTCGGTTTATTGTAGTTTATGATCACAGTGAAGACAACCCTCATTTAAAGATTTTTATCAATTATAATAATAATACTGATACTTCGATGGATCTTGGTGAAATTTAGCGATAACTGGTAAAAAGAAGGTAATTCGGCCTATACTCAGCAATGCTTATTTTGTTACAACGAGTGCTGTTGAGTAGACACCCAGGGGCTTAGGTTACGGGTTTTCATTACTGAATATTAGATCTTCGTGACTATGTGATCCACCCCATCTGCTATTCTTCACACAGATGTATGTGGACTGAAACGTCCTTGGCCTACAGTTCATCCTGCTTGTACAATTTTATAAGTAATCTTAAAATGTGTACACTTCATGGCCTATTTAATCACTTTCCGTATTTCACTGAATGAAAATAAGGTTAATCAACTACCGGGATCCTCTCCAACAGATTCCCTTTGAGTCTCTCACAGGTTTGAAGAGCTGTTCGTTGATCCTGCCCTTCTTTCTTGACCGTTTTCCATTTTTACTGTTTCACCTTCTTTCCACCTTGTTCTGTATCCCAATCCACCTGTTCCTGTTATAGTTATTGTTGTGGGGTTGGCACCATGCTTGTCTACAAGCCGGTATATATATACCGGCTGATAGGTATATCCTTAACCGGGATACGCACTTAGGTGTCTGTTGTTATGTCAGAGAATACTTGATATTATCGTTTTATGAAACGCGATGCACTGATGATTTTGAGCTCTGTGATTAACCAGGGGATTGAGTTGATTTGACAGTCCACACTAACACCCCTCGAGTTACCGGGTGCATTACACATTTGTTTGCTTTCATAAGCAAAAAAGAGGTGAACTGAAAACCATGAGGCTTTACAAAACAAGATGTCATATTACTGCGCAGAGCCGAATAGGACTGTTTGTTTGCGATGCTTAGTTAAAGCGCATATAGTCTAACAATCGGTCAGTTTAGTACCAAAGTTCCCTGATCAGCTTTTTCCTATCTTTGAGCTAAATCACGATGTAAACGCAGTAGATACTTTGCTTTTTCATGACTCTCCTTATAAAGGATGATTTGCATTCCTTGTTACATCTACTGACAGATTTCTGTACGCGGTGGATCGTGAACAGGTTAGTGCAGCTGCTTATCCGTTTGCATTTTTGTGGTTGCATTCCGTAATCGTAATGTATGCATAGATGTTTTCGGTCGATCTTCAGTGTACTGGCCCATTTTGAAGTTGTTCTCTTGATGTCCTGTTTATCAACTCTCTCTTATTTTCCTGTTCGATTTTACCTTCTTTTATCGCTTTTGGTGACTTTCTTTTGAATTACTTTTTTCCTTTCGAAACCGAAGCACCTACGAGAACGATTGCAAACATTTTTTGAGTTTTAACACTAATATTTACGAGAATCGGTACCAGAAAGTATTACCGTTCCATTGGCAATAATGACTGTGCTATTCTACCGTGACTGGCCCGTTGTTTGTAGTTAGTATAAGTTGCACGCGAAACATGGATTGTTCTGTCAAGTTTGCTCAGTGAATGTTTAGAGTACTTTTATTTAAATGTTTGTCATTTTCAGACCTAATTTTACTTGAACTGCTCGAATAGATTAATAATCAAAATGAAGATTAAAGTGGCTACTAGTTTCAGTTATCGGAGTGACAGTCGTGATGGTGCAGAACGATACATTAGTTCTGCTGTCACGATCGAGCCCGATGATGATCAGTCGGTGGAAGAAGTGAGTTGTTAATCCTTTTGGAGTAATCTCTATTCCATTCAGTATGATGATGAACGCGCACTGGAGACCACATACACTACGAATTTGACAGAAAAACCATGCCTCCCGTCCGGTCAAGAACTGACAAAGAAATTCAGTGATGTTGCTCTACCAGAACCACGGTTTATGATAATTGGCAAACCGTGTACGGGAAAGACTACCTTAGCCAAGCAGTTGTGTAAACAGTTCGGTTGCGAACTTGTGAATGGTATGTTTCTGTCGTTCTTGTCCTTCAACATCATGATTCATCAATTGTTTACTTATAGCGACTGAGTTGATTGAAGAGAATCTGAGAAACCAGACAGAAATTGGGCGTACAATACAAAATATTATGGTAGATGGTCGTGATTTGGATGACGAAATTGTATTGAGAATGCTTGCGGAGAAATTGCAATCACCCAATTGTATCAAAAACGGCTACGTACTGGATGGAATCCCAACACATAGCGAGAATGCTCTTTCAATTGAGAGGCAACTGGATTTCATTTGTGCATTGGAGAATCCTCCCGTCTATGTGCTAGATATAAAAGTGAGCTATATTTTTGAATGAGAACTGCAGATGCTAAACGTGACTTCAAATGATTCGGATGACAAGCAATTGTTTTCAGTGTTTGCTACTCATGGCGGTCTTAGTCTCAGAACGAGGATTTAATGGCTTTCCCGGTGGGAACTTGAATGTAAACCATCTTATATTACATGGCTTTTAACTGAGTGATAATGAATCAACAATCTACTTACTTCCCGACCTTCTTCGCTGTTTTTGTGATTTCAGTCAAAGGTCTCGTCTGAGAAATAGCCAGGTTCGGAATGCTTTCAACCGGCTTATAACTCTGAAGATTGCTGCTGAGATAAAAGAGCAGTCATGTCCTTAACAAACTTGCAAAGATGAGTTGTGCAACATCCCGTAGAAATAAAAAAGAAAACGGTTTGATTAACTATCTGGTGGTCAAGGGGATAGTGTTTTTTACCAGCGATTTTCCTGGGTCCATTCTAATTTGGGTTGAAGTATCTGAACCGCTGGTCAAACCCAACTAGCTCCCATGGGCTGTGGATTACATTTTAGCTTTGAACTATCCTTTTGCCTCAGACTTGATAGGTGAATTTCTGAATCTTTTTTCTTTAGTCATTTGTGTTTCACTGAGTCGTAGATGGCATCAAAAAGATTTTTTGTGTTAGGTTTGAATTGTAGCTAGCGGAAACATGTGCTGTTGAGATACACTGACGACATCTGCCATTTGATGTGTTTCTATCATACGCCAAGCGCATTTGATTAGTTTTCTTGTTTCTTGCATGTTTCTTGCATCTGGAGGAGACAAGGGGCACTACAAGAACCAATAACAACTACCCTTGGCATCGAACTTGAAAGTCCGGAAGCAACTGTATTTGACCGCTTGTTCTAGTGATGTTGCAAATGATGGCGGTAAATTTGACGTAGTGACCACAGGCATATAAAAAACTCCGGCTGTTTAGGCGTTATTGAAACACACTTGGTGTAGACTTAATGATTTATTGAATATGCCAGTTTGCATAGACGTCCACAGTAAAGTGATTTTTCACTCTATCTTTGCATGCAGAAGGTGCACTTTGACCGTACCGCTCTTCCACCAATTGGGGAAGTTCGATTTTCTCTCGTCAAACGACTGCTGAGACATTTTGCTCATCCAAGTTTACACCTGTTTCACACCTCTGTGGCGTCCTGGTTTTCAAATCACACGAAAAAGCCCCGAATTTTCATCCTTTGCTGCGCCTTTGATGGCGCATTGTTGTAAGGAAAAATTTAAAAACCACTGAAACCGTCAACGTCATTAGTATTTTATTTTTTTTGTTTTTTCATCTGTTTTCTGTTGTCTGATTTGTTGTTTCCATAATTTCTGAAATCTTGCATTCATTTCCAAGACCCAGGGACTTATATTGCATCAAAGGAGGGGTTAAGACTGAGTTAATTATTCCGAGGGTTTCATTGAAAAAGCAAAACAAAGATGCGACGAACACGCTTGTTTCCAATGGGTGAATCTTTCACAGATTATTCCTCCAATTCTCTCATTAATGGTTCGATTAGTTTGTACATCCGCCTTGCCACCGCGTAATAGGGTGAAACATATACCGAAAGAATAAGTAAACAGGAAAATATTTTAATAATAACAATTCTATCCCGATGAAATGTAAAGGACGCTTTATCTGGTGTATCACCAATCGTTTAAGATGAATTTGTTCATCTGACTTACTGAATAATGAACTAGAAGCAGTTGAGTCAAAGTTGCCCAAAAGTGGATTTCTAGTGGAAATGATTGATCGCTGAATGATAGTTTATATTAAAATTCCAAAAAACCTAACGGTGGAAAAGAAAAAGGTTTACATTCGATTGCCTTTCAAAGATGACACCCTTTTGAGGACAATGAGCAAACGACTGAGGAGTTTAGGGGAAATACCCTTTTCTCAACGGAATGGCGCATATTCTGCTCATCCACACCACTTCTCACAGATGAAGAATAGGATAACGATGAAGATGACCTCTTTTTGTGTTTACCAGTTTACTTACTGTTATGGTGAATGTTACGTCGGTCGCACTACAATCCGTTTCGATGATCGAGTAAAACACTGTCATCCAGATTGGCTCTGTCGAAGAACGATAAGAGCAGCCACGATTGCGGTTACTATACGTCTGACCGGGACGAATCACACCTTGAATATGCGGGAATCGTTCCATGACACACTGACGGGGTTCCGGCCCAAGGACGTCAAAACCCGATTAATATTTATAGCAGAGACAATAGGGATCAGTGTTTAGACACCTTCCTCCCGACCCCTCAGCATTCACTTTGCACACAACAAACCATACAGACTTATTTCCCTGTATGTGCTCCAATTGGTCAATAAATAAAGTACAGAAAGTTAGCTTGTTCGCCACATCTTTTCTCATCTGATTTATTTGATTTTCTTTCCATATTTCTGTACGCTTTCCGCTGTCCACTTGCACTTTCATTCTTGCTGGGAGAAGGCTAAAAGTGCCAGAGTGAATATCATACTTTGCTGTGATCGTGCTGTTGGACTAGAAGACTTTCGCGGCTACCGAAATATGCTCTCCGAAGTGTTTGGTCCTACCTCGTCTCTTGAGTACTCTCTCGCCTTAAAATATGGCACAACTCGTCCGTTGCGGATCAATTTACGTTCTCGATTCACTGTGTTGTGCATCTGATTGTCTTTTACTTACTGATACCCGATGCAAAATGAATGCTTTGGCACAAAGCTCACCACATTCTTTAATTAGTAAAACCTTTTAGTATGGGTAGCTTTTTGCAGTCAACAAAAACGTAATGTATGGATCATTTGCCTGCGTGTCACGCAATTATGTTTCGACCCATATATCCCGTCCCATTAATGAAGTGACCTAGACTAAATAAGCTCTCTGCACAAAATACGCACCAGCCATGTTGTTTTCGATAAAATTGAATGCAATAACTTGAAAACAAATTCGCCCAACCCTGCATTTTCTGATTCCTCTCAAGTAAACAACATCCATGCCTTGAGGTGTAAAATGAAGCGATTGAACTTATCTTGAAATACTCACTTATAAACTCTTCAATATTCATGATTATATTTTGATTACCGGTTCATTACTTGACTTAAGCACGATTAGCGTTCAATCAAAAAGAGGCTCAGTGCTGAGAGGTCTCAAGTTCGAACAGCTCCAAGCAAATAGCTTAATTCCAGCTAGCGCTTAAATGTAGGAACACCATAGAGAATTGAATGAATGTTATGTTTCTCAGAAATATATAATCCTTTTTAGAGCTGTTTGGCAGTTTCCGCTTTGTTTGTAAGTAATTGCAGAGAGATGGAGAAGGCTGCGGTTATCGGTGGCAGTAGAAATCTTTTCCGATTAATTAGGACTACAGGCTCAAGGAAAGCAGACATGAGGTAATTAAGGAATCTGGTAGCACATTGATTCATATTCAGCAACACCGCCTAGATCGATGGGCATAACATTTTAGGCTACAATTCAGCTAGCCCTTGTCAGCGCAAGACCTTCCTAGACGTGAACACAAATTGGCAAACAAGCTCGTTTTCAGTGTGTCTTAATCATGCCATTACAACACAATAAATATGACTAGTATCAAAGAAGGATTTACAAGGAAAAAAGAGAGAGGGAAAGTAATTAAAGTATTCAAGAGTTTGTTTCATAATTGGTCCCATATTATCACTTGCTCCGATGTTGCATGACAAGTCACTTGTCGGCGATCCGGCCGTGGGAGCTTGAGTGCTTGCACAAATTGTTTCTGGGCCCACAGAGGGGGGTTGTGAATACGGATGGAAACTGCCTCCGCTGTGGCTAGAATGCGAAACCGCACGTGACTAGACCATCCAGTCTTAATTCTATACAGGGGTCGGAATGCTTCCGTCACGTTTACAATGTGATTAGTGTTGACAAGGTGCGACACGACGGCACTTGCGATTGACTTAATTGCTCCACTTCTCAACCACGCAGGGTGACGTTCACGGACGCGCTCGAACAGACGCCTGGTCGTGCGGCCAACATACTTTGCTCCACAGGAACAAGTGAGAGTAAATACAGAAACAGGCGGCAGAATTGGGCACTCTATTCTTTAACCGTAAATACACCAGCGGGCTAAATGCGAATGGAGTTTGAAGCTTAGCGGCGTAGAACGTTTTGTTGATGGCATTTGATAACCTTCTATGCACAATCTCTGCCAAGGTGTCACCTTTACACGGTAAAGAAATGTATACAGACTTCTTCTCAGCAATTACCCTCTTGGGAAACGCCTCCTGCCGTTGCACCATAGATTCCACCAAACGCTCCAGATATCCATTCTGGATGAAGATATTCCGCACATTTTGAAGTTCTTGAATACTTTACTTTCTTTCCCTCTCTCTTTTTTCCTTGTAAATCCTTCTTTGATACTAGTCATATTTATTGTGTTGTAATGGCATGATTAAGACACACTGAAAACGAGCTTGTTTGCCAATTTGTGTTCTCATTATGAGCGCCGTGGGACCTTTTAAACACCTTCCTACACCTGGTTCAACTGTGCAAATACTGCCAGTTGACATCATTTCTCCATCTGAAATGGAGGTTACCCGGGAAATCAGTTATCTCAAACGGCATAAGGCTTCTGACCCCGATGAGCTATCCCCAAATGTTTTTAAGCATGATGGTCTAGCCTTGATTTTGGAGTTAGCAAAACTCCTGGGCTCAGTGTGGGAAAAGGAACAGGTTCCAACTGAATGGTGTGAATCGGTGATCATACCGATTTACAAGAAAGGTGATAGATCCTCCTGTGAATAGAGGAATTAGTTTAATCAACATTGCCCCTAAACTTCTCACCGACATCATACTCCGTCGATTGTCTCTCGCTCGGTAAGAGCGCACACGTGAGAACCAGGCTGGTTTTAGACCTGGTCGAGGTTGCATCGACCACATCTTCAATCTTCGTCAAATCCTAGAACACAGACACACTTTTCGTAGACCCATCATCTCTGTCTTCCTGGATCTGAAGCGGCCTTCGACTCAGTCGACCGCTGAAAACTCTGGAGCTGCCCTTTGCCTGAAGAGTGTGCCCGAGAAGTTAATTTCCATATTACGATCCCTTTTTACTAGTAGCCAAAACCGAGTCCGAGCTTGCGGCACTTTTCACCCGAGTTCACCACAGAAACGGGTATTCGACAGGGTTGCCCTCTCTCTCCATTTCTATTTAACTTTGTTAAAGATTTAATTCTTGAAACAGCCCTATCCCTGTGCGGGGATGGCGGCATCGATTTACTCCCGGTTGGCAGACTGTCTGATCTAGAGTATGCAGACGACATTGTGCTATTAAATGAAGATCCAGGTTAGTTGCAAGCTTTTCTGGTTAGTTTGAGTGCTAGTGTGGCCATGCTCAGTATGCCTTTTACACCTTCAAAGTGTGAAATGTTGCTGCAAGACTGGGTTGGTTTAGCACCCAATCTGACTGGGGAATTAATAGATCAAGTGGATAAGTTTCGTTGTCTGGGCGGCTAAATCTCACCTGGCGGACGCATCACGGATGAAGTGTTAGCTCGCAAACACAAGGCTCGGTTGGCATTTACCAAACTGAGACATCTATGGTACCGTCGCAACATTCGACCGTCTGTAAAGGTTGGAGTATATGCTGCAACATTTCGGCCAGTGCCGAAACTTGGCCATTACGGGAACAGGGTAAAAATAGATTGTTGGTGTTCGATCGCCGTTGTCTACGTCGCATTGCACGAGTATGGTGGGGCAACCGGACGAGCAATGCTAATGTCAGGCGCAGAATTTTGGGCAATCGCGGTCGTCCATTGGAGCAAGTAGTCGGCCTTCATGGACCACGCTGGTTGGGACATGTTTTACGCATGTCACCAAATAGGTTGCCACGGTGGGCGATGTTTGTCGAGGCAGTTAGCGTTTGGAAAAACGGTCAAGAGTGGTCAGATAAAGACCTGACATGAGGGTATAAAAACCCCAACCAGGAGACTGGGCCACATAGGTCTCATTAGGCTCCCTAGCTAGGGACCTCGAGATGATGTTCACCGATGATTCGAGACACTGAGCGATATATCTGGATATCGCAAACAATGGCGCTCATGCATCTACTCATTATTATTGAAATATTTAGTCGATATAAATTTGCTGTCTTACGCTTGACTTTGCTCCCAACATTTTAATCTTTATTCTGATCTTTTATCGAGATGGGCAACCATAACCGGCGCACGAAAGTACATGGTTACTGGTTGTGAAAACTGAGCTGAAACTTGTAACGACTGTCGGTGTACGCTCATAGATAGATGTAACCCAACCTCTTTCAGATCAGATGGAAATTGCGCTTNAGTATCAAACCAACGTACGCGATAACTTCAACGCTAATCGCGATGCTTATGATTTAACTTGATACACTTTGGGGGTAGGTGCACACAAAAACACTTGACAGTTACTTTACAAAGCTTTTTGGAATCGAGTTTGAAGATAAAAAGAAACGGTACAAATTACTAACACACTAATGAACCAACTTCTAGCCAGAGACCAACCATTGAAGTGTTTTATGGGTTGCCAATAAGCTTCGCAAATATATAACGTTCAAGCTCGGCCCAAACCTGCTTCTGACTTATTTCAACACAGCACTTGATATCAAAATAGCAACCGGCGCTTCATACAGTGGATTTGGCGCTGTAATTTTTGTCGAATTTACGCATGAATCACAGAAGGCTTTTTCGCATGCTCCCTTCACCCTCCCCCCCCCGATCAGTAACTGCAACAGTGAAATGTAGTCAGACTACAAAAAGAGTCTCGACCATCATCTTCATCCTGAATAAATTTCACAAAATGCTGTGCGGTCGTAAATTGTCACTCTTCGTCAAACACAAACCGCCGATCGGAATTTTCGGTTCAAGAAAGGGATTCCAGTCCATACCGCCAACCGCCTTCGACGTTGGGCACTCATTCGTCCCAATTACCATTTTGAAATCCTCTACTGGCTGTGTCAACTCACCTCCAGTTTTCACAACCATTTTTCATGTATTTTCATACGTCCATTTGAGCTGCTCTCTTTTAGCCACCCATTTACATAAAAGAGCAGAATGAAGATTGAAATGTTGAGAACAGAGCCAAAGTGAAGATAGGGAAATCATATAGATAGGGGTTGCAAGAAGATAGAGTAAATGCAGGAGCACCACTGCTTGTGACAACCAACTGTATCACTCAATCTTTCCAAATTCCGGTTACCATGATCCCGAGGTCCTCATCCAGAGATCCTAACTGGACCTATGTGGAAATGTTCTGGTTAGGGTTTTAACACTCTCAAGCCAGGTCTTAGTTTGATTGGCCCTGAGGTTTATCCATCCGCTATCTGCCTCGGCAAACATCGCGCACCGTGGCAACTTATTTAGTGGCATGTGTAAGACATGCCCCAACCAACGTAATCTACGGAGGTCGTCCACTTGCTCCACTGGACGACCGCGATTACCTAAAATTCTACACCTTACATCAGCATTGCCTGTTCGGTTTCCTTGACAATTTCGTGCAATGCGTGTAGACAGTGGTGTCTGAACGTTTAATCTATTTTCATTCTGTTCCCGTAATGGCCAAGTTTCTGCACCGTAGAGCAGGACTGGCGTAACTGCAGTGTCAGTAATCATCAGTGATTGCACTTAAGTTTGTTGCCTCCTTGTTTCTGCTCAGTTAGACTTTTGGTTGTATGGCCAAAATGAATACCTACAATCATTGTGAATTTAAAATTCCAAATCACCACTTGCGCAATATTATGTTTGTTGTACAACAGAGGTATATTTTTTGTTTTTGTATTGGTGGTGATACCCACAAAGAGCAGTGTTTAAACTCTGTGCATTGCGATGGCAATCGTGATGGATTGTAATAATATGCATTAAATCGAAAGTTAAAAAACGCAATAATATCTTGATTTAACTGACGTGATTCGGCAAAAGTGGAAGCACATTGTGAAATGGTATTGTGCTCCATCGGTTGTAGAAATGATTTTAAAACGATGCTTTTGATGATGAATTCCGTCTAGTTATCTATAATATTGATTTTTCGTTTCTCTTCTGTTCTTAAACTGACAGATCACAAATGAAGAACTCCGAGGTCGATGGGAAGACATGAAAATTGATTACAAGGATGGACATTTGTACCCAAAAGAGAGTTATGACTTTAATGCTCAATCACTTCGGCCAGGATCTCCCGTTCACCCAGACTTTCCTTTGGTTGATTCGGATATCAACGAACGTCTTTTAACCCGTCATGAAGAAATTTCAGAGAACCTAGATCAACATTTCGCTTTCTATGACTCAAAAGTTCAAAACAAAGTGGATGATTTTATGTCTAGATACGACCCTTCATCAGTTATCAGCCTAGATGGTCATATTTCCCCCACCGAGCGATTTGAAGTTAGTGGCCGTTTTTCTGTAATGGATAGTGTGCAATATCTTTTCCGCCAATAATGGATAGATGTTCTGAACATTAGCTTATCTTTTTTGCTATGACTAACAACGAATTCAGTAATTTGTCTTGATAGCGTTGCAAATCTGTTACGGGAGATGCGTTGAGCTGAAAGAACGTGAGAGTCTATGGAAATTCGTATTACAGCTTCATCAATACTACATACATCAGTTTTCTGAGTCTGGGCCCTGTTAACAACCTTTATAAAAATAAAATTAATCTATAACTGTTCACGAGTGGAATATTGACAGGATACGCAGACCGAAGTCAGTGAATTTCCTGGTGATTCACAAACTAATCTGTCTGTTAACCGGAGCCTAACCTACAAGACATCAGAGCATAGTGTGACAACCGCAGACCACTGAAGATCTGTGTCCCTATTTTTTTTAACTTCAAGTGAGTCCAATCAATCGTATTTTACTTTGAACACCACAAACTGATTGGCTTTTCAGCTGTCACATTTGGACCGGGATTATCAAGTCTCATCCAATTGGAATGAACTGATTTCGCCATAGACTAATATATATATATATATATATATAAACGGCTTGAGAACAAGCATGGTGCCAAAGCCACAACAATGATAACAATAATAATAACACCCGGGAGGGGGGAAGGTTGGGATACAGAGAATAGGGAAATAGACGTAACTGTCAGAAAAGAATATTACGAATGAATGTAATAAAAACTTTTTTGTGTTTCACCGTGCACGTTTTGAAATTTTTGTTTGCTTGTTTTTTACGGGGCATGGGGTTTCGACAGGCAGACCGTACAGCATTCGCACCACTGACTTCTGTTCCGGGCCATATCTCTCAGCGTCTCTAACCAGCGACAATCTTCATTCCTTAGGCCCCAGCCTGGAAGGCGGGTTGCACAAACCGAAGCCAAAGCTGAAGTTAACTTCATACCTGTACGCCATGTCATGGTCTGACTACCGCAGCGCTTCTTCCAGCTTTGTCCGGCACGTGCAGAGAGTGCACGGAAAGGTAGCCGATGGGCAGGCATAGTTTTGGTTGAGTTACCGAGTGTGAAGGAAAGTTTCTGTGGGATGGGGTTTTGGTAGTTCGTCTCCCACCCGTAACCACTATGTCCTTGACCATTATTCAAATGAGTTATATATATATATATATAGGATTAACAATGAAGTCTGCTATATTCAAAGCACCTAAACATACCATACAACAGGACAGGCAGCTCTGAAGTTGTGTCAAATGTCTTATACATATGTATTCACCGGCTTAGGAGCACACATGATACCAGAACCACCTCAGCATTAACAGCATATAGGGGGATGTGAATACAGAATAGTGCCACATACAAAGCGGAACGTTACTGGAGGATAAGGAGAAAAAGAATAGCAGCATACTTTTGGAATCTTTTGGGGTCCTAATATAGTACCTGGGATATCCTGACTGAGCCTTGTAGGAACGATCTTTTCAACTCTGTACACTACTTGCGTTCTTTTTCAGTCTGAACCATTGCCTGTGAACGGTGAGTTAGACGTCTAGGATTTAGTAGGACGCAGCCAGAACCCTTCAGATGATTCAAGGAAATGATGCTCCTGAGGGCAATACCGGTTATATCTAAATATCTCGTTTGACCTAATCCCCACTAATGCAACGCTTCCACATACGCGGTCTCTTTTGCGCAGAGGACACCTAACAGAAGCATACGCTTGTATCAGCTGTTAAACAACATTCGAGATAAACCATTCGCTCAACTACTATTGCCAAAATGAAATTGCGTGGTAAAAATGCACATGCAGAAACCTTCAAATCTGTCAGCGAAATCTGGTATTTTGAAAGTGTCATTCAGCTGCCATGTTGAGCAACCTCAATAGCCAGATGGTTTAGCTTGTCTTACATCGCATGTGTATCGTCACCGAGCAAGGCAATATCATCAGCATACTTCAAGTCTATCATTTAGTCTGTTTGAGGGAGCTCGATGCCAGGTTTCTTCAGTTCAAGCGTTGGTCGTCGGTGACCCAAACCGGCGCACGATAGTGCATGGTTAATGATTGCATAAACTGAAATGAACTGAACTGGTTTTTGCGGGATATCATCTATAGTGATTTTAAAAAAGGATGAGACAGCCCTTTCCAATCCCAATGGTCGATGCCAAACGAAGGTGGATTTCACCATAAGCCCTAACCTTCCCTAATTTCTTAAGGTAGCGTGCTTGCTATCAAGATCAAAACATACATTTCGGATACCCCCTATCCCAGTATTCTGTTTACAATCTTGAACTCGTTGAAAACACTGTTGGAGCGTATTGGCTATGTCAATCCCCATTGGATACACGTAAAGCAGTCGGGCATTATTTAAAGTTTGCTTTGTCCATTCATACTGAAAAATGATGATGCACTAGTGAGTTCTGATATAATGTGTTTTGGTTCTGAATGATCAGAAATTAAATTTGATAACTTTCATTATCTAAACAGTTTAGCGTTATGCTGGTGGGATCCAGAGAGCGGTGATTGAAAACATATCAATTGTACCGTTGGCCTTTGCTATTCTGAAATACTTTGCACGTCGGTGTGACGTCGCAGCGCAACTGAGAGCCTGTAACATCATGAATTTGAACATTTGGAACATATCGTTCACTTATGAGCTTTCAAATGTTGACGTTTAGTACATGTGAGATAGTTACTAACATCAAGAGGTGACGTCGGTGTGTACAATATCAAGATGAGTTTAGTTATGTAGGTTTCGCTTCCTAAGACATACACAACCTCAAAGTTGCCTGCCCCGTTGTATCGTAGGTTTAAGTGCCTGAATGTAGCAGAATTCATTGTTAATCATAAATGCCATCAAAATCGACCATGGCAAGGTATACGGATGAGAACCTCGCAAGTTCCTTCTACCGTAGGATTACGATTCTCTATTTTAATCGAGAGAGAGAGGATTTTGAATCAAGACTGCCGCGTTTAACGGCTAAACTCCGTTTTATTATTACGTTGAATTTCACCTGTTAGTCAAGAGTTAATTTACCACATCAAATGAAATATAATAATAGGTTCCTTATTGTCTTTAAATAATTTTGTACTCTTCAATGGTACGTGTGTAGTATGCAGGACTGACCTCAGTTCTGAATCCACTCTAAATACACTGACAGATTGTATTCCGGGCAACACAGTCAGAGTTCTTATAAAATTAGCATATTCAAAAGGCCGCACAATCCCTGGCCACTCACTGACGCTCCCAATACACAGGTGGGACACTTCTGTCACTATGTTCTCCGTAGAGGGAGCTTCCAAAAGACCTGCAAGACGGAAAATACAAAAAGCAACCATGAAACAAAAGGTCCAGTGGGACATGCACACTATCCACTCAAGTCAAATCGGCTGCACCCGTGTTTTCACTACACTGGAATTTAATAACGCCTTATAAAGCAAAATTTGTAGTTATCAACCAGGCCATTTCGAGTAATCTCACTGCCGATAGTTTCACATCACCTTTTTCCATTCTTGGTTTTGCACAGTTCTGTTCTATAAACCAAAGCAATGCTTGATCTCAAATACTTCCCGTTTCAGGTGACCATGAACAGATTAAAAACTATCTCCAATCAGAGTCAAGATGGCACGGATACACGCAGCCGGACACCAGTAATGAACAGCGAGCGACTACAAATAACAGATTCTATGAAAGCCTCATTCGTGAGTTTCATCTCTCAGCACCATTGTACATTGCTGCATTTCCCCATGTAGAAAGCGGATAAAACATTATGGATCGGTCATGCCCCGCGTCTTGTGGTCTTTGGGAGACCAGGTATCAAAAAGAGAATCCTTGTCAAAGCACTGTGTGATACATGGGATTGTGAATATGTGAATGGTTGGTTGCAATAAATATTTCACTGACTGTGCATTCTCTTAGTTGCGGACATTATCCAGCATCAAGTGGTTGCGAAAACACCTCGTGGTTTGGAAATAATTTCAATCCTCTCTCAAGGTGAACAGTTACCTGATGAATTTTTGATTGAATTCCTTATGGAAAGGCTCAGTTCTCCTGATTGTCGCCAGAATGGTTACATAATTGAAGGTCTGCCCACCTATGGTGAAGACGCTTTATCCATTAAAAAACAAATCGAATTTCTGGAACAGCTCTATCCGGAGCCATACTTTTGGGTGGTCATTCGCGTAAGTTTTCCCCGTTGATTTAAATCCGAGGATGATGTCTCACGTTAAATTGCATGAGACCTTCAGGTATGCCCGCTATCTGTCGACTCGTTTTCGTAACAGTTTGATCTGTACACATAATTAAACAACCTCGGACATCAAGTGCAGCTGGTTTCTATTCTCATGGACTTCTCCCGCACAGTGTTCTAAATCATCCATAGGAGAGTCCTAGTTACGGAATTCCCATGGAGAGGTGGTTTTCACCTGTGTGAGTAGGTGAGTCATCAACGTCCGAGTTGATGAACCGTGGAGGTTAGCTAATCTAAAGTTGCTGAGAAGTAGTAATTTCACACCTTACAATGCTTGGCGCATACATGAACCTGTTTACGAAAACTATCGGTTTGAGTGGGTAACGGGATTTTTATTACACACCTATGTGTGAATAACAGCAGACGGGGCGAACCCAATAGTCACGAGGACCTGCTGTTCAGTAGTGGAAACTGGTAACCTAAGCGCCGGGACTTGGAGTGGAGAACCAAATAAGGCCCCGATAGATTAGGCGTGGCATTGAACGGAAGACAGCAGAGCTGCCTAACACCAGAGTCGGGTGGCGGTGGCGGTGCTCGAACCTCGGACCATGGGGTCCAAAGCAGGCCTGTGACAGCGACCAAGCTACTGAGTAATGGGGGCGTGTGAATTGCACATCAACAGTTTAGGATCTGGCGATCGGAAAACAACCTCCATTGCACCAAAAGACTGTCTTTGAGTGACTAAAGACGTAGGGCTACGAATGCGTTATATAATCACTTGCTTTGGTTTGAGTAACCGGGAAGCTTTGCACACGGAAGAAAATCTCTCGACTATAATGACTCATGTCATAATTTGTATTGTCCTCCGATTGGCCTCAGACCAATACGAAATGTAGTATGTATAATGAATTCGTCTTCTAAAGTAGCTTGGGATCAGTGTAACTGATAACCAGAAACATCGAGCGATATGCCTGAGTTTCGTAAACAGTATTGCTTCTACATCTGCTCACTGGCAACAATGACCTTCTGGAATTCTCTATTTTTGATTTGACTGCCTTCAAAAATTCCAATCTTCCCTTTACTCCTTCATCCAACTAAGCAGTAAATAGATAGCAACCGAAACTGCACCACGGAATTACATTTCCCATTTTTGTAAAAGCTGAACTGAACTGGTGTACCACGGGACGATAGTGATAATCAAAAGGGAGATTTGGGTATAAATAATAACGATGTGGAGAAGCTATGGAATCAAAAAGACAACAGCAAAAGTGTTTTTTGTTCGTTCCATCGTACACTTTTACTTTATTGGACACATAATTTCAACCGTACATCCTTCTCTCTCCTGATGTCTACCCCGAGCCATATTTATAGGTGTCGATAACCAATTGAAGACGGACTGTGCCGGCAGAAGCGAGTGGTGAAGCTAACTTCTTCATAGCCCTAAATCACGTCATTGTCTGACGGTCGCGATGCTTCTTCCAGTCGTTAGCAGCACATAGAAAAAGACCATAGAGAGAGAGAGAGTTGTACCATGGTTTACGCAAAATCTTATCACTCCATCGTAATCGGTATAAAACGGTTTCTTCTTGTGGCACTCAACGCATGCTAATGAACCTATTCATTGTTCACCCGATGTTTTCACCATATAAGAGCAATGCTGTGAGTGCATCAATAATCGAACGCAAATGGACGATTAGCAGCCCTGGCACACAGAATCCAGGTATAAGCACCGGAAAGTTATGCATCGCCAAACGCGGCAATGTACATCTTTCCCTCGTGAGAAACTCGGAATTCATGGTGGCGCCGGTTAGCGAATACCATTCTAGCTTTCCTTATGTGATCTCCCCAACGCCACCTTCATTTGTGCTCACACTCACGAATAAAATTAAAACTTTCGGTTGTCTCTAACTAACCACTCGAAAGGCTGAATGAAGGAACAAGCTTCTGTCAGTCACGCAAAAACAAACCGTATGGCTGCTGCGCAGCTCATGCCATATATTGCTGCTTTGATCGCATGGCAATCCAGAGTGTGCTGGACTGCCAGTTTGTTGTCAACAAACAGGGCGATGGTATCGGCATGTACCATGTCAATCAATTCTCTGCAACTCTGCATCCTGGAAGGAGTTCCACTTTAGCGCGTGCTAAACTAGACAATGCATTAAGTAGAACATCCTCTCCTCTACTAAAAAACGGAATAGGAACGGGGATATATATATATATATACATTTACCACCCGCTTGAAGACAAGCATGATGCCAAGGCAAAAACGATAATAATAATAACAATAAAACGGGTTTGGTGGATTGGGGTACAAAACATAGTGAAAAGGGGGTGAAACAGTTAAACATGGGAAAATTCAGGATAACAGAATTTTTTTGTTTCTCTGTACACCTTTTGCAATTTTTTATGTTGTTTGTGGTATTGGAGATATAGAGTACCCTTGTCGCAATCAACCATAAAAAGCGATGAGTGGTGAAAACTGATCACATGTTTTAATTCGACTTGAGGATTACTGCATTCTTCTCAGGTACTCCAGTTCTGCGCGAATTGTTCCATTATGCAATCCTGTTGACGCAATCGAACGCTGCGCGGATGTCAAGTCAAACCATGAGCACTGGTCATTGAAAAGTATGACAGTGTTCTATCAACTTTAGAAAGGTTAAAATCGGATAACTGCATACCCGAACGGCCCAAAACCCAGCTTGCTTACGAGTTTTCTCATTCTGCGTATTGTAAAAACTGCGAAGAATACAAAAATACTTACGGCTTTGAAGCCATTGGGACTAGACTTATACCTCAGTCTATGTCTCAGTTACCGAACAAACTCTTCCAAAATTTAAGATCAACAATGGACCCCCTACTCAGGCGAGGGGCTAATCATGGAATCTATCAAATTCACGTCTTCGTTAGGAGGCTGCAACCATGCAGTTCTACTTGTTGATTAAATTTATCACGCCTCTATAGAATAACTTGTGAAAAATTCCTTGTTCCTCCGTCAATCACCGAAAATTGCACAATCTTGCGTCATCCGAGCCATTGCCTTCCAGGAAGGACAGCTGACGCTCTGGAAAACATTTGTCTTCACACTTACCGAACTTATAAGGGCTGTAGCAATGATCGAATCTAACGGTAAATAACGTACGCAGTTATCATCTATTGGCAGCCGAATGGCGCAGTGCATTTCACAGAGGAACGTCTCCTGATGGGAGTTCCAAAGATGTCCAACCATTGACACTTGAGATGACTACACTGTGTTGAGAGTCCTTTGTGTACGAGAGGACAAATGAATGTATCAAGAAACCCTCGATTCGAAATATATTTCCAATCCAATGCCCTTGTACAGGCATTTAATTACCTCGGAGAAATGGAATATGGAACATCGGCACCAAGGCATACCGGACGCTTTTCCACTACTACGTCTGAAGGTGCTGAATTCCTTAAAGTGAAGTTTTTATAATCTGCTTACCACAGCTGAAAAAGTCAGATTGCAGCTTCCATCTATTTGCCCTCTGCCCCGTACCCCCTAATTGATTACATTCGCCTTCGAGATTGACACGGTAAAAGGCACTGTTGTCGTTGCACAGGAATTCATCTCCGGGTGAAGAAAATATCCATCCTTGGATAACCACAACTGAAGTAGTCGCTAGTTTATATCAAAGGATGTGTGCGTTGATTCATCGGTCTTGGAAATACGGTGTTATTTCACCCATTTGCAAAGATGGCTAGGAGAGCAATCCCGCGAATTCACGTTCAGTCACGCTTTTCCTTGTTTTGTAAAATGTAACAGAACCGTTTGTTATTGTTTCCGCATAATGTGTTTGTGCGTTATCAGTGTTCTTCAGTCATATTGGATTACTCAATTGGGTTGTAGGGTCGTTTGAACCATGATTCTAGCCCCGTTTGCTGTCAGCATACATTTAACCACACACCTGTTAAGGAAGCACCTACTCCGTCCACTTACGACTCTGGTAGTTCAACCCAAAACGATTCAATGAACCCACAACACTTCCCATGGTTCTCAATCATTGTACCAGATGACCAGGTGATCTCCGTAGCCCACGTTACTGAAATGATAGGCCTGAACTGGACACTGTATTTGAACGTAAAACACAGTGATGTCTTACGATGCGTTGATCGACCAAAGTGGAAGTATGTGCAAGTAACGCGCGTCAACAATCAGTAAAACAATAACGTGACGTAAACCACGGTTGACAAAGCAAAGTCACTATACACTGACTATGCCATTCACGCTAGTATATCATCTCCAAATCATTCATAAAAATTACTCGAACGGACGCAGAAAACAATAACCTAAATGGTCATAGGTTTGCATAAAAGACCCGTGGAGAAAGGTTGCAAATCCTAGAATACTAGTAATATCAATAACACCAGGATAAGAGACAGACGTTTTTCGCACATCGAATACTGCATCAACCTCATCATCAGTGTTTTATTGTGCTGAAATTATACCGGGTTTGTTGACCTAAGAATACATTACTTTAAACTGGTGCTCCATTAGAGTCGGTTAGACTACCAGCGTTACTCTTTCGACGTCGATGTATTTACTCCCTGCAACTCTCCACAATCCGTTTGTTTTACTCCTAATCGCAGATTCTTTTACGGCTCGATTGATCATTGAAACCTCTAACCGTCTAATGGCCATGAATGAACCTGCCGTGTGTAAAAACGCTTAGAATTCACTACATTCAGTTTTGTAACTTATTCATAGTATAGATTTTAATGTCCTCAACTGTTGGATTTTAACGTTAATTTATGTTAGTTAGTTTCTGCAGGAATAAGAGAATGCCTACACCAGATTGGTTGTGAAAGGCAGATTTTCACTCCCAAAGTCTTGATAACTGTAGAGGGTAGGAAACGGATGAGTGTCAAGGATTTCATCCACACTGTACGAGTTAAGGTTTCCCCTTTTTAAATCTACCAACTATAAGTAAACATACTGACCTGATCACGGTGTGGTATTGAGAAAAAGGCTATTTGACGGAAATTTCATCTTGACTGACTACATCTGTTAGTCTGCTAAGTGAGTGAGCAATCTTATTCATATGCCATTTCGTCCGTCGTTTCAAATTAAAGGCCCCGGAGACTGGATCGCTTCAGGCTCGGCCCACTAGTTTCTCCTCCGATATATGTCCAGGGACACCGGACTACTCTTGTGAGTTGTCATCCCTAGATGAAGAAATCAAGAGACGTCTGCTCGTTCGACGTGAAGAATTGCCCGAAAACCTGGAAACTCTTACCCGATTCTATAAAGAACGTGTTGAAGAACCATTGGGCGAGTTCATTAGTCGCTGTGCTCCCAAGTCTGTGATATGGCTTGATGGAACGCTCAGTCCGTATGATTTGGGATTGGTGAGTTTCTGACTTGCTTCACTACTTGTCGCGTTTTACAATCAGTCAAATGTGTTTACTTGTATTTTATTCTGGGATCACAAACGCAAATCGTAAGTCCTGGTGTTCAAATTTATTCAACTTCAGTCAAGAAACCTCTGATACCCCCGTGACGGGTGAATGTTCAGCTTGATTCATTACTAACAGAAGAGCAAAAAATAAGAGTGTCATAAGAGGAAAAGCAAATGATAAAGCAAACTTTAAAGGCGGACTGAAAAGAATAATATAATAGATGTATGGTGAACCTCCGTTTTTCACAAAATAAAGATTAATGCGGTTTTGATATGTGGATTTACGGGCACGAGTACGAAAATTAGAGACAGATTTACGAGTTTAACAGTGTAAACGGTGATCGAAATTCGACAACAGACTGTTGGCTCATTGGTCACCAAATTTTGGCGAATATTGAAGTTAACATTATAGGGTATACCAATAGATGCGGATAATAGTTTGAGACTGAAAACACTGTCTTCCCGCGGGAAGACAGTTGGAACGGATCAATGAGAAACATGGGTTTCTACAAGGAATGCATTTCGCTACATCTGTATATCTATACATGTGTCTATTGCCAAATGAAACTACATTTGCCAATTCAAGTATGGATGCTAGGTTATCATCTTGGAAGGAGAGTGAGGTGGTTACGTTCCCGAACGGCCGAACACACATACCGACGTGACTAAATAAGGCGATGGACGAATAGTTTGAAACCGTCACTCCATCGAATGAGCAGAAAATACTTGGATCTTCTATAATCCAACGCTTATTTGAATAAAACATGTTGCAAATCCAACCTACACGTTTTAGCTTATCTTCAACAAACCAAACACAAAATTGCTGACATTTTCTGAGGCTCTAGCCAGCCATACCCTGAAGCTCCGTCTATGCAAACAGCGTGAATTTATAATCTTAATGGCTTTTCCTAGATGACTAACGCCGAACCTCTCTCGTTCTTTATGTTAATGTGTCCTTTTGTACGTTGCCATTATTAGTCTTGTCTTCACGTCATTGACTATAAGAGTCACTTTGGCTGCAGTATGTACATGTACAGATGTAATAAAATGACCATCATCATCATCATCATCATCCACATCATAGTACAGCGAAGTGCAGCGAGGCGAACTTCACTGACCGCTGCCAACCTCGCAATGCACACAAGGTTAATGATAAAATTTAGAGTGGACAGGGATGGGACCTATTTTCAGGGACGGGGAAGAAGGTGAACGTCTATGGTCAACACAGAGAGTGCACAATCAAACTCTGCTTACATACCTCTTCAAGCATTCTGATCTGATAAGAAACGACAACAAGAACGTCACTGCTGTGGGTTCGCTGCCAAATCCTTCAATGTCTCCCATCAACCGGTTGGGTAGTCTTTCGGACCCCACCCTGGAAAGTGAGGGACGCCTACTCTACCTAATGGCTCTATGCATTTCTTCATGCCTCGTCTCCACGTCGTCTGTTGACCTTCACGTGGTTTCCTCCAATCCGGATTAGCTACAGCGAATAAGGCGCGGTGCGACAGACGACAGCTGGGCATAAACAATACGTGCCCTATCCAGCGGAATCTACTAATCTGAATTCGGTGTGCCAGCAGGTTTATGCCTGATAGACTCCCAAACACACGATGGCTTACCTCCACGTTACTAACCCGTTCGCTCCGTCGCACATGGGCTAAACTACGTAAATACCGAGAGTCGGAAATCTTTAGTCGACGGATATCTTCTGCTCGCAAATTTGGGGTCTCCTAAAGATTTGATCCATACATTCACAGCCAGGCCGGAATCCGGTTTGCTGTTCACAGATGTTGATCTATCTTAAAGGCGTCAGACGTCGATGTATAACCGCGGGATCATACTGATCCCGCGATGGTTTTCACAGTCGTTCTTGAAAATGGGAACGATCAGTGTTTCGCTCCAAGATGAAGGAATGTATTCTTGCGTCCAAATGTTGCGCTGTAGGGAAGTAATAGATCTTATGGGGTTATCACCCCCATCTTGAAAAGAGTGGGAGAGAGCTCGTCCTGCTGCCTTTCCTCGCTTCAGAGCTGGAAAGCGAGACCGAACTTCTGCTTCCGTTGGAAGATCGCATGACTGCCTACGGAGCTTCAGTTGTAGATGAAGAAGCCTGGTTAGCGGCAGGCCAGTTGAACTATTCGCTGAAGTATTTTGCCCAGCGATTGAGTCGTTGAGGCTCCTCGTGAGTTTACGTTGTAGATGTCACCTAACACAAAGTTAGTTGTTTTGGTCCTGACAGGTCGAGATTTATAGTTTTTGATCCATCAGTGCTACAGACTCGTCAGATATCTAATGCCTCTGTTGGGCTTGAGACTCAGTCCCACAAGAAACATTCGCAGCGCAATGCATTGCTCGCCTAATCTGATCCCACTGCTCACTTAAAACATCACGTTAGACCCGCTTAGCTCACGCACTAGTTCTGACTCATAGCATGTACGAACGGCTGGAACAGATAGTCGATGGTGCGCTATCCGAGTTTACTGGTTTTGTCGTCTACCAGTCAATCGAAGAGTGAACCGCATCAAACTAATACGTGGCCAAACTCAACGATGGTGGTCCAATAGGACCTGCAATTTTGCACTGAGCCACGCCAATGGTAACTTCTTGCTATGTGGTAGATTTGAGTTCACGAATCAGTTGACCTGGAGCGCCGCGTTGCCATCCGTCGAGAGCTGTGTCGGAAGTTGTTGCTGAGTTGTTGGCTGGGCAGAGCACAACTACCACCTAACCAAGCTTCTGATGCACTCAGTTTTCCAACCTGCGCGTTGAAGTTACCTACAAATACAACTATGTCGTAGCTTTGACTCATCCGAATGAGATCGGCGAGTTCATCGTAGAAAGCGTCCTTTTGTGTATCAACTGCAATAGGTCGGTGCATATGCTGATACGACGAACAAACATCTTTTGGTGTTGCTTCCCTTCCGGATGCTGATTGAACCCTGGAGACGCATGGCACATAAATGACTGCTGACGGGGATCCAGTCGATACGAGAGGACTCGGCCCTGTTACTGAGTACAATACCTACCCCGCGCTGACCCACTGAGCGGGCTTCGTCGTCGCCTGATGTGCGAAGAACATATCTGGAAGACAAATCTGGCGCTCTCAAATGGCTTATATTAGTAGGATCTTAGATAGGAGTCTCCGGCACTCAGCAAATATCGATCCCTAGGGATTCCATTGTACGCGCCAGACAAGCTTGTTGACCTACCTGCATCAGGGTTCTCCCATTGATGGCCCTCAGATTCAGTGCGACGACGATGCTTTAGAATCTGCAATTCGTTTCATGATACATTACCTACAGTACTATTTGACAACGACCTTTG